ACTCCTAGATGCATTAATTTGTAAGTGTTTTATATTAAGCCGTTAATTAAACAATAATAACCGTTAAGTAAGAAGCTTAACTTGATTTAGAACTCTTTCTCGAGTCTATTTGTATCTTAAATTTACTCTTGGTTCGCAAGTCTCAAAATTTAAGGATTGTTTATTTTATGAATTAGTGCCGTCATTAATACCTCATGTTCGTTTGTGGCAAGGCCTAGGTAAGAATCCCATCACAAAGCACATCACAGCATCCAAAACTAGCCGGTTATTTGATTGATATTTAAGGTTCCGTAGCCAAATGGCAAAAAACGGAGCCCTTATGGATTAGTCATGTCTGTCCGTCTGTCCGTTCGTATGTTACAGCCACTTTTTTTCGAAACTATAAGAACTATACTGTTGAAACTTGGTAAGTAGATGTATTCTGTGAACTGCATTAAGATTTTCACAGAAAATAGAAAATATATTTGGGGTTCCCTATACTTGGAACAGAAAGTCAAAAAATCATTTTTCATCAAACCCATACATGTGGGGTATCTGTGGGTAGGTCTTCAAAGCTGATATTGAGGTTTCTAATATCATTTGTTTCTAAACTGAATAGTTTGCGCACGAGGCACTTCCAAATTGGTAAAATGTGTGCCCCCCCCCCCCCCCCTCTGTAACTTCTAAAATAAGAGACTGATAAAACTAAAAAAAATATATGATGTCAATACATCACTATGCAAACTTCCACGGAAAATATATTTGAACGAGATCTAGTAAATAGTTTTTTTTAAAACATCATAAATTACAAATCAATTAAAATAAATAAACTATAATCAAAACATCGATCAAAAATACAACGAACTACAATAACTTTTATATTGTGTTACTTGCTGCTACGGAACCCTTTATGGGCGAGTCCGACTCGCACATGGCCGCTTTTTTACCCGGCTGCGCAATGCAAGAGCGCGAAGCGCGACGCGCAGACAGGGTTATGTGTTTAACAGTCTATATATGTATGTTTGTTCCTTTGTGGCACACTAGAGACCAAACGCCTGGACCGATTTTGATGATTCATACATCAATCGATTCGTCTCAATCATGGGAGTGCTACTAAAGATATAATAGTAATCAAAATTCAATATGGGCAAAATTAGGCACCATATTGTGACGTATTAAAAAAAAAAGTTGACAAAATATGTCGAGTGGGGTATCACTATCTAGATAATCAAAAATTATATTTAGGTTCCTAACACCAGTTTTCATTTTATATGATTGTTTAGGATCTACAACGCTTTAAAGTTGTATATTAACCACTTACGCTTTTAATTTCAATCTTACGTTTGTATAGATCTTTGTTACTCTTTCACCTAAAAAAATACTGAATGGATTTTAATGAAACTTAACAGTAATATAGCTCATATATGATAATTACATATATATAATAATTTATGTAGTTATTGAGGGAATTGGCCAATATATAGCAATAAGTGTCACATAAGACGGAAAAAAATGTCCCATCTGCGAGCCGTTTTGGCCTGCACTGCAAAAACAATAAAAGTTACATGAATGTAATACAGAGTGAAAATGTATCTCTTAAATAGTTTTAAAAAAAGTCCGTGACACCATATATCTATTTTTAATGTGTAAGTCATTACCGCTAAAATAGTGAATCAAAACTAAAATATTATTTGATATCTATTTCCAAAATGTACATTTTGTATTAAGAAATCATTTTTTATCAAAACAAATACTTTAATCGCTTTTGATATTTAAAGACGATAAACTTTGCTTTTTACATTATGTCATTTCGACAAATATTTAAAAAGTTACAACGATGACAAAGTGATAGCGCGGTGTACTATGTAAAAGAAAAAAAATGGGGTATTCGCAGTATCTGATCCTATACGAAGTACTAACATTAAAACTGTGATACAATTCCTTCTTATTAAATGATGAAATATATATTATCATAATAGGTATTTATGATTATTGAATTTTAATGAAAATCTCAGAATTTTACTGTTTTTCATTTTTTTAGCGATATTACTTAAGGTTACAAAAAAGGTTTACTTAATATAATGACAAATAACCCATTTTTCGCTAGTAAGTACATACTTATTGGAAACCCTGTATTTATTAATCAGCTCGCGATAATATTGGTTTTGTAATAATTCTGCAAAATTCAAAGTAAATAATGTAGATTTTTATAGGTAAATCACCCCTTTCATCACCCTACGCCTATAAGTATTGCGATGTTGTAGCTAAGAACCAAGTTCCCATCTACTTCTATATGGGAATTCATTATATTCGATTTAGCTATTAGGGCACGGAAGCGCAACAAACAAACTCACTTTTGCATCTATAATATTATATTATACTTACTAGTGATCCACCCGAGCATTGTACGGGCGAAAGGACAATGGGCAAAATTGTATGGACGCTGCACCCACGTCCGCCACGGTTTAAACTACATTTGTTTGAAAGGTATTATAGTCATAATCATCTGTGCCAAAGCACATCAAATTATATCCCGGGGGTCTTTAGTTATTTTAAGTTAAATAGGTACAAGTTCATAGGTAAACGTAACTATAACGAACATAATATATATTAATGATACAAGGACGATTATATAGGACGGATATATTATTTGATGATCTCCGTGGTGGAATGGTATGTACGCCGGCATCATATAATGGTATCATGGTGTCGCCGACTCGAGAGGCCCCGGATTCAAATCCTGGTGAGGGCAGATGTTTGTGTGATGAGTACGAGCATTTGTACTCCAGTCATGGATGTTTAATATGTATTTCTATATCAATATTCTTATATATGTACTGCATAATATGTATTCTATTCGTTACCCTAGCATCCCATAACACAAGCCTTACAGTGCTTACTTTGGGGCAAGGCTAATCGGTGAGTGTAAAAAAAGGAATTAATTATGAAACATTATTTCATTTCAAATATTTTTAATAATCTTCATCCACAGTGTCTAAGAAGAGAGCCGGTCTGTGAATATCCTCGTCATGCCTTGCCAGACATAAAAACCATATGACCACCATAACATGAGCACAGCAGCCTAAAGTGCAGTTTCCCGTTTAGCATGAGCATAATGAATAAAATAAGTAATAATGTTTTAATGCATTTATTCCATTTTCGTCTTCATTTATCAATATATAGGAGTAATAGAGCTTAGACCTCGTATGCCTCGAATCTATTTATGCTCGCAAAAGCCACAGATTTTTTTGGCAAGCCCCGCAAGCAAGGTTATTTCATTCAGCCAATGTCAAGTAAAAGATCCTTCTTTTACTTGACATTGGCTGAATGAATGCATATATGCAGAAATGTATTTAAATAGATCCATAGATTTTTTTATTGGCTCGTACGATTATAATGACGTACGTGATGATAATCGTGTTCCTATTTCCAAAGCGTGTTAGTTAAATATCAATGAAGTAACAGGGAGCGCACAAAAAGTAAGACATATAACTGCATACGAGTAGACTAGTTGGAACGGCAACTGCAAATATCACATCCTTCAACCCCCATACCCTTACCCTATTAAACGTTTTGAGGCGTCTCAGTAAGTGCAAGCAGTAAGCAAGCAGGATGTTCGGTAGGCTTTGTTGTATAGTATTTTGTATCTGGTTGTATAGTAAGATATGACTCACATTATTATGGCTAATATTATATAACGAAAGTACTATTGATTTTGAATTTATTTAGCTATTTAATAATGCCCATGTGTGCAACCGGCCGCCATGACTTACACACGACTGATGGTTTTCTTTAAGGTCTATGTGCGGAAACCTTAACCCCTAATATAGAACATGCCCATATGTATATCTTTTGACTCCCAGGATATTTTGTTACGGTGTCATAATAAAAAATGCTAGTTTTTCATAGATCTATCGATTCATACTAATTACATTGTTGGCGGAGCTGGGTGCGTTTTGCCCATTGTCCTTTATTTATCGGGAAAAAATATAGCCTATGTCAGTCAGACAAAATGTATTTAAATAAAGAAAAATGTTATAATAAATAATGTAGCTATACCTTATGATGAATTAATATTTGAAATCGGTTCAGTAGTTTGACAGATTATTTGTTACAAACATACAAATCTTGCCTCTTTATAATATTAGTATAGATAGTTAGGATAAGATAAGTATTTAATTGATGAAAAAGATTTAAAAATAAAGTAAGTAATAGGTTTATTTGATTATATTTGTAAAAGTTACTTAGCATTTGTGCTTAACAGTGATACGTTATTCGGTATTTTTATAACAATTTTTTTTTTTTAAAAAATAATTGCCATGATTACACTACTGGGAGTACTCTTCATTGATTGGTATTGTATATAGGGTGATTAAAAACATTTGAAGTTAACTTCTGGCATCTACATATTGGGTTTCTGTGAATTATGTAGGTATATCAAATTATGAGACAGGGACTGACACTGAATTTGTGTATATCACAATCTTAGACGTCCGGCATTGACATGACAATGCAGCCACTGCCAATTTTAAATAGTCGACGAATAAAAGTAAATGAACTTTATATTTACTGTTAAACTATTAAAAAAAAACATAAACAAAAGATGACTTTTTGAGTAAGTGCTAGTTTACTATAAAATTTACATACATTAGAGATATTTATGTAACGACTTGATTTAACTTCACACATTTTTACGAAAATTGAGGCTCATTTATCTTTATATGTCTTAATAAATCAATATTTTAGACCGACGCAAGGTACTTAATAATTCCCGCGATATTAATTCCCTTACTGAAGTAACAAGACTACGGTATATATCGTCTTAAAATACTAACTAAAAAGTGTGAAATAAAAAAGGTAAATTTAAAAAATCAACTAACCCGACTGCTTAATTATTCTTCAAAAAAAACTGAAAAGAAAAAAACAAGTCCAGTAGTCTATAATTCTGTTAATAAGGAACAAAGCTACTTTAACAGTCGGGACCCACTGTTGAAAAATATTATGTATTCTTGAATATCTAATGGGTCCCGACTGTTAAAGTAGCTTTGTTCCTTATTAACAGAATTATAGACTACTGGACTTGTTTTTTTCTTTTCAGTTTTTATTTGAAGAATAATTAAGCAGTCAGGTTAGTTGATTTTTTAAATTTACCTTTTTTTTAAATAAGCACGAGAAATTTTGCAGTTGAATAATCCTTTTAGTTTCGATGCAAAATTGCTATTTGCAACATCAATGATTTTTTCAATTTTGATTCGTAATCTTTAGTAAGAAAAAAACTGTATTTATACATATAAAAGGACAAATAACTTATATTTATATTTTTTATTATTTTAAAGCATGTAACTGCTTGATGTTTAAATCTAAAGTAAATATAACTAGAAAAAAATCCAGAGAATTTTAGACCAGGCAGCAGACGGGACTCGAACCCGTACCCTTCGCAATCCGGGCGAATGCACTGACCAATTATGCTACCGCGGCCCTCACGGACCGCGTCGAAATTCTTCTAGATGCAAGGCAGCGCCATCTCTTCGCATTACAGGTAACCCACAATGTCAAATGAATTGAATTGCAGCTTGCAGCTTAAGAATAGCTAGAAATAACTTATATGATAAGGTAAAAGTTTTGGCAGTGAAAGAATCAAATCCCCGTATGCCCAAATAAGGATCTCTTATAGACTGATAAAAGGAACGAGTGGGACTCTAGAAATTGGAACTAAATAGTTACTATCTCCCACAGAATCATACTTAGAATCTTGATCATAAAAGCAAATGGCCGGCCGGACCTTTCGTTGGAGTGACACAATGAAAAATATGTCAGTAAAACAACATTCTGGTAAAATTAGCTAATAGTGAGTCTTCCACAAAAAGTTTTCGTGCAAGGCCAAATACTATTTCAATAAAGCCATTGCAACTACCCCATTGTTTTGTAAATGAATACCCAGATTCATTTTTATTAATCGTTGTTATAGCGGTTATAGAATCACATATTTTGTGATAATAGGTCTGATGTCACACGAAGGAACAATCAGATGGTCTTACACCGCTGTCAAGCTTTTCGTATGGGGTTTAACAATTGCAAGGTTAACAAAATTATATATATCGGAGGCGATTGTATTTTTAAAAAGGTTGAATATAGATTCTCGACGAAATTTTTCAAATTTATCATCCTAAACCAGATTACTGTTACTGCTAGCATTGGACTAATGTATGCTACTGATATAGTTTTGCATGTTTCCTCTCTACTTGTTTTAGTACTCGTAGCTGGTAATGCTAACGCTTCTATATTGTCTGTTATCTTTAACAGCCTAATTTGCAGTTCGTTACAAACACGATGTACAGTTTCGGTAATAACGGGCTTAGGTTTTGGTCCCCAAAAAAAAGCTATATTTTTGTCTATATCTCTTAAGATAACTTTGTTACGACAACCAATAAATTTAGTTTATTAGTAAAACATTATCTACCATTCAGATAAAAAATAAAAATGTAACATTACACGTTTATTGTTTGAACCAAAAATCTTCTTCTATAATTGTTACAAGCTGTCCTAGCTCCCACTTTGATGTCTTCCCAGGTTTCGATACTAGATACAGCTTGGTTAATGAAGTCTGGATTAACCAAAGTCGCAACCATGGAACTATTATCTATAGTCGGCAACTTGTAGGTAAAAGCCAAAAGTATACCAATCATTTGAGCGTAATCACTTGGAACTCCTGATGCAAGCCCATGAGAAGATTTTTCAATGCCACTTCGCTCTATCTATAGCGTGACCAATGCGTTTGAATTGAGCTGGCTATTTCCAAACTCATATAAAACGAAGCTTCCCCAGCTATACAAATCAATGTATATTTTTATTCTATCAGACTTTTGATGCAGTAGGTCCTTGATCTTCCTAGATTCGGGTTTAGAGAAAGCTTCATCGCCATGAAAACGGTAGTCTCATGAAAAATCTATCGTAGGTGAATCCCAGAAGGAATCAAAATTCCTTGTTAGATCCACTCCTCTGCAAATGGGACCTGGCATGTACTCGGTAGCGCGATTTTTGTTCCAGAATCGAAACTGAAAATAGAACTAGAAAAAAAGAAAACAAAAATACAATTGTTGGTGTAACAAAAGCCGAGAGAATGTTTCTTTCAAATAATTAAGTAATAAATAAACAAGTTTAGTCTTATTGTCATTATTACTATAGAGACCGTACTATCTCATTTTTAATTTTGTCTTTTGAGAGAATGTAGATAAATAAACTGATAAAAAGCAAGATAAATTATTTTTATAGATAAGCTATTATATAATGTACATCAGGTATTAAGCTTAAATACAATAAATTATCATGATAAATCCATCAAAGATTGAATTATTGCAATAATAAATACCTATTATGTTTTAATTAATTCTGTTTTTTAATACATAAGAACTTTTTTCGAAATACATAGTATTGATTTCAAAATGAACAACGTTGCCAGTGCTATAAAAAAATCGCAATTTTAACAGATTTTTTAACAAACTACCGATCTACTAGGTCTGTTAGTTGAGACATAATCTAGCGATAAACCTTAAGGGCAGGGTTTATCATAACAAAAAGTAGGTATTTTTATTATTATCCTTTTCAATGAGGATGAGCGACTGCTCAAGCAATGAATGAATTATGACCTTTGAGACGACCTCCGTGGCCGTGTGGTTTATACGCCGACTCTAGAGGTCCCGGGTTCGAATCCCGGTGGGGGCAGATGTTTGTGTGATGAATACGAGCATTTGTACTCCAGTCATGGATGTTTAATATGTATTTCTATATAAATATGCTTATATATGTACAGTATATTATGTATTCTATCCGTTACTCTAGTATCCCATAACACAAGCCTCTACATTGAGTGATGGAAATATTTATTTATTTAATTATGTTATTAGTAAAACAGTTAAAGCTCCTTATTCACGCTTCCATTATTCGCGTTTTCACCATTCGCGGATAAAAAAATGCGACAGAATTCTTACATTCGCGGCAAAATTGTTTTTTAATCGCGGTTCTAATAAAAATAAAAATGATTCGGTACCCTTTGTTAACGCGTTGTCAGATGGGGTAATTGTAAAAAGTAAAGTAGATTATAGTATAACTAAGCCTAAAGTTTTATTCGACATCTGAAATCTTTAATCAAACCTTTATTCGACATCTAATGTAGGCGACGGAATGACTCTTTAGACAAAGGACAGGGTAAAATTTTGTATAAGCCTTAGCAAGTATAAATATTGTACTTAGTAATATTTAATGCTGAATAGCTGAATATTTATAATTTCTATGAGAACGGCTCAGGTACTTTTGATAATGTTACAATACTGAAAATTATGAAAACTCCTACTGCGTCATTACCTTACTACATTTGATAAAAGAGATTGCAAATTATTTACAGTGCCATCAACTTCGCATTTTTTAGAATCCTTCCTTCCATTTTCTAAATAAGACTTCACAAAAAGTATTTATAAAGCAAAAATTAATACAAATAATTTATTGTCGTCGGCCTGACAGGAAATCTGTAAAGTTTTATTTTGATAATTTGCAAAAATCAAAGCATTTATTCTTATGCAGCCTTGTCTCAAGACTGCAGTACTTAAATTAAAATTAATGTAATTTTTCCTTGCGTTTATTCGATGTGGATCTACGCGGTTCCGAAATAAATCCGCACTGATCCACATCGGAACCGCGCGTGAAAATTTTACAGAATAGCCTGCTTATTAGAAAATAAAACCTATTCTTTTAGTGATTTCGTACCCTCAGGGGGAAAAAGGCATAAGCCGGAAATGCTGATTTTTCAGTATGGCGAAAAAACTGAATTTTTGGGCATATTTACTTTATTTCCAAACGTAGAAGAATTATTCATATATCAAAAAAAGGAGAAAAAATGTTGCACTGCGTGTTATATTAAGTTAATGCTAATGTAATCATTAATAAACTATAATTAGTTTATTAGGAATTGTTTAAAATTATTATGCTACTTTTCAGAATGTAATAAAATAAAGGATTTTGAGTATCAAAATTTATGCCAGGCTTTGCCAGAAAAGTGAAACGTATTTCAAAAAGTATGTTGTAATAAAGCAGTAATGAACTTGTAAATACGAACACTTATGTTGGTATAAGTAAGATTACTGCATTTCCTTTATTAAAATTATGTTTAAAATGTATAAGCAATACTTACCCTTCTTTTCAGTCTAAGCGCTTGTTAAGATAACTTAAGTAAATAAATAATAAATTCTTAAATAATCAATAGATAATTCGTTAAGACTTGTAACAATTAACCAAATAAGTTATTTCTCGGCTCCGTACAACAAAATATTATGTTCTCTCAATTAAAAACTAAAGTAACAAGCAAAAGGACATTGGGCAAAAATGTATGGACGCAGCAGCCACGTCCGCCACGGCTTAAACTACATTTGTTTGAAAGGTATTAAAGTCGTGATCATCTGTTCCAAAGCGCATCAAATTCCATCCCGGGGGTATTTAGTTATTTTAAGTTAAATAGGTACAAGTACTATAACGAGCGAACATTAATGAAACAAGGGAATTAATTTAGTTAGTTCAACCCTACATAGAGGACTCAGGTATGCCTACTACCTTATGTTATTCTGCCGTGCTAGAGTAAACCCAAAAATCCCCGCATGGGTTGGCATTTTTTAAAACAGTCTGTTCATTATAGTAAATTCTAGAGCTTAGAAGCATTAGGGCGGATGTCGATTTTGCCAACTTTACAGGACAGAATAAAATAAAAATTCAATTTTATCGGCAAATATTTCAATAAGTACAAACAATACGTAAATATTTTCTTTGCATTTACTTAGCTAATTATGTAGCTTAACTAGCTTTATAATTAAAATTTAAAAACAATGTTTCTAAACAGTGAAAAATTAACTTTTTTTAAAAAAATCATGACATCCGCCTTTATGCCACTAAAAATAATCAATGTATTTGTTCAACTGATTAGTATGTGCTTATATGGCTTTATGCCTCCAATTTTTGTAATTTAATGTGAGGTGTTTGTCCAAATGCGACTTTATTGTGTCCATTTATTAACTGTGGTTCGTTTGGCAAAAAGTCGGACATCTCTTAACAAAAAAAACTATTCCATAAATAAACGATAATTATTAATTTAATAATAATGAAAAATGAGAGAAAATTAAAATATTTAATTATTCATATATTCACTGGCGTATAACACACGGCGTCGAAAAATTGAACTTTTAAAAATCTTCTTCAAATATTTTTAAACCTTTTTTAGAGAATAGTGTTGAGTATCATAAGAAAAGTAACAAAAAGGAGTATCCAAAAACCATTAAAGAACAATGCCACGTGTCCATAGTAACTTTGGCTTAATATAAAATGTTCACGCACATCAACGAAAATAGTTTTATTGTGTGTTGTTAATAACTAAACATTTCCAGAACATTAAAAATTCTAAAGAACTTTGCGCAAAAAAATAATTCGATAATACAAATATGGAATTTTGAGGTTATTTCAATTTGGCTATCACCCTGGCGGAGTGACTTCCACACCGATTCTCATGGTGTCGCCATATCTGGGTTCTCAGGTTCGCTACTCTGTCTCATTTATTCAGAAAAATAACTGTTTAACATTGTCTTGGGTCTGTGTTTGAGTTACCTTTACTAGTTGGTAGACTTATGCTATTTTATATGCGCATTGTGGTAGACCCAAAGTACGGTCGTCAAGGGTTGGTAATTACAATTAATAATACATTTTGATGATTATTCGAATCATTTTAATGAATGCAATAAACTACTGATTCAAATTCACTATTGCTGTATTCTTTTAAGTTATCACATCAGTTATCAATGCCAGTGGGTCGTCTCGGAACTTCTTGTCTCTTTCTTTTTATTGCAATAAATCAGAGAGAAACACAATAGCAACTTAAATTATTTTTGTTGGATATTCGGTCAGCTATTTGTTTATTAATAAATAAATTCGATTGGAGAAGTTCTCGAAAAAAGACAAATGTAATTTTTTTATGTTTCTTGTTGTATGTAAAAGACACGTTTTCGTGCCATTTTATAATGAAAAGTTTTGTAAGCCAGAATCAGGCATTGTTCTTTAACTTTTTATTTAATTAAAATTATACAAACAGCATTAAAATAAAAATATAATAAAAATCCTTAATGAAGTCGTTATTAACAACAGATAATTTAGAAAGAAAAATGTACAAAAAGTATCTTAATATAAACTTAAGATCTAGTGTTACCACTAGATAGATCTTCAGTAGGTTATCTAGGGTCACGAGCAAACTGAAAGCGGGATCGCCGATGCGCTGCTGTCAATTTCGGACCCGTAGCAGCTCTGCGGGCCGCTATCTTTCTCTCCTTCAGTTTTCTTCTAACCGTAGAGACGCTCACGGTGCGTCTACGAATTGCCTGAAGCTGATTTTGCAACTCATCAGCGTTAGAGAGACGATTTCTCAGAGTTCGACAGAGACGACCTGTTCAACGGTCGTCTCTTTCTGAAGTGCAGCGGCGTCTACCGGACCCATGTCTCCAGATATAGCCACCAGTCGCTATGAATCGCTGGTATACTCTTCGAACGGAAAAACGGCTCAGGTTCAGTTGCCGGGCAACATCACACTGCCGCATCCCTGCAACAACTTGAGCGGCTCATCAGCTGTGGTATTCATCTTCGAGGTGATTTTTCTTCAGTAAAATCTGTGCGTGTGTCCTCTTCAATGGTTGAATAGCGAATGACCCTCATTGACTCCGTGTGGACGGTTTTATACCTACCCACATAAGGAAGCGCAACAAGCGACTCTCACGGTAGCAAAATTTGCATCGAATTTTTGTGACACTTTATTTGTTGCACTAGGTTTTATTTGATAATGAAAAGTAATGTTTTTTAATTAAGTCAATTAAGTAACCTTTTAAATAAAATCATTATTAATGTGACTACATGTGCATATTAAGAGTTAATGACATTTGAAAGTGATTTTCTAAGAGGTGCAATTTTTTTGACGCCGAGTGTATATTAATTAGTCACTTTCTGGAAAGTCGGGAATATTTCCGTTATGAGTAGGATTTCTATAGTAGACATGAAACTCCATAAGAACCCATTTCAAAAGAGTCATCAAATCATTGTACTTTGCAGTAGATATAGGTTTCTCAGTGTGAGAGACACTGAGAAACCTACTACTTCACAAAACACCAACAGACCGAAGGTAAAACAAAAACACCGAAATGTAAACAATCAATGCGTGCAAGGAGCAAAGTGACAAACGGCCAGACATACGATCGCGCAACGACAAATCACAAAGTATCTCATTACACTTAAACTGATTCAGTGTTAGTCATTAGACACGCCGTGGCCGATAATGCCCAATGTCGCTAATTTTTTGGCGCCGTATTTTGAATAGTTCACATTCATAACGATTTATTTTTACATTGGCCCACCTATGCATTTACAAAGTTACTAAAACAAAAGGCATAAAGTCGTATATGTACAACCTTTTTAAAGTTATTAAAGGAATCTTAGATGCATAATATCGGAAGTTTAGTTACGATGAATATTTTAAATCACTGTTTGAACCATAAAGGCGTGACTCCTTTTACGTAGCCTTGGTGCGAATATTTTTTTTAAGCATAAGGGCCAAACTTTCATTCCACCAAAAGAAAAATACAGCAATGTAGACGCAGAGAGAAGGAAGTGAAAATAAAACCTTTAGGTTCTAATGATTTTAGAAAATCTGTAAGAACCGACATTATGCACGGAATTATCTTAGCCCAGAAAAGAGATAGAAATACAGTTCATAGTGCTATGGAAAGAGAAATAAGCGCTTTTCTTTATTATTCAATAAAAAAAATTTGCCCGATCTGCACATCCGCCCATATGCATCTTAGCTCCAGAATTGTCTACGTAAAACGGAGCGACCATAAATCACACAAACTTGTCGACGCATAGGAGTAAACATGAGCCCAGTTCATCCATACTAATTAACAAAACCGATAATCGTGTTCCAATGTCCAAAGCGTGTTAGATAAATATTAGTCAAGTGACAGGGAGCGCACAGATACAACGAAGTAAGACGAGTCGACTAGTTGCAAGTGGAAGTCCTTCAACCCCCGTAAACCGTTTTGAGGTATCTGAACAAGCGCAAGCGAAGGATGGTCGCTAAGCTTTGTCGGTTGTCTTGGTGCCATTCGGCATAGGCCACCCCGTCTGGGGATTACCTAGTACCCTGGAGTAATCCCCCATAGGAGCGTCGCCCGGTCCACTCGATGGGCCGGGCCAGCCCGAGGACGCTCTGGTGTAGTGGCGCCGATCCCAGAACGCCCTCATAAGGGCCGAGGAGGGTACCGGTGGTTTTTACTGGGTAGGACCGGCGTTGTTCCGCGCCGGGGAGTTGCACACACGTCGCGCGCCTGGCAAGCGCGCGGTATGGTGCGTAAATGCATTTTCCACCGTCAACAAAAAAAAAAGGCTTTGTCGGTTGTATAGTACGATATGGCACATTATTATGGTTACTAATAATATAAAACAAAGTAACAAAACAATTAAATGAATTTGTTTAGCTACTTAAATATGCCGTATAGCTCCATTGTACTTTGCAAAATTTTACATGCCTATTATAGAATTATTATACGTTTAAAGTACGTAGATCCTAAAAGTAGATTTATTATGTGTCATATCTTTTGAGTACCACGATATTTTTTTACGGTGTCATAATAAAAAAAAAGTTATTTTTCATACATCTTTCGCGCAGCTGGGTGTTTTTTGCCCATTGTTCTTTATTAACAAATTAAGGTACGTTACACATAGCCAGTACCTTTTGTTTTCAAATAATGAACGAATAAAAATACAAATAAAATGTCTTCTTTAAGCAATAATGAGATCAAAAATCTTTAGATGGTAATAAGATTTTCTACTGCAAGAGAGGTTTGGCAAGAGTTGCACCGATTATTTGACGGCGTAACAGAAGATAAAGCCTATGATCTCTGCATGAAGTTTTTCGGATATAAGAAGGATCAAAACGACGACATGGCGACCCATTTGTCAAAATTAAAGAACATGTGGAAAGAAATGTCTATGGAAATGAAGAAGTCGGAAGGAATTACTGCTGATTTACCCGATATGTTCCTCATTTGCAAGATATTGGATACCTTACCGGAAGAATTCTTCGCCTTTAAATCTAGTTGGTTGGGACTATCAAGTAAAGAGAGGACTAAAGAGAGATTAACCAGTCAGCTGTTCTCACGAAAGAGCATTATCTTCAAAAGGTTCCAAGAACTGCAGAGATGCACTGACTCTTCAAAGACCATCCAAAACAAAGAAGATTCCTAAATATGACAAAAAATAAATAAATGTCATTTATGTGGTGAAATCGGCCATAGGGTAAAACAATGCCAAAAATGGAAAGCTGATGGACGCTCGTCGAAAACAACATCTGACACGAAATTCAATGAAACTGTGAACATGAACGTAATGGTATTGAATATCAACTCCGCTGATCACAATAGCTGGTTTGTAGACAATGGAGCTACAAATCACGTTACAAACCTAAGACACGTATTCAAGACTTTTGAGTATTTTGATCGATCACATAGTGTAACGACAGCTAATGGACAAGCCATTGAAGCGATTGGTAAAGGAACCATTGATGTACAAACAGATTTAAGAAGCCACAAGCAATTGATAATGATTTTTGGTACTGTACTAGGGATCACAAAAAACTTATTCTCAGTACTATCAGCCCAAGAAAAGCTCACAAATAGCATCTTCACGCCAGAAGCTACAAAATGTAAACTTTCGATTGGTAACAAAAGCCTGTTGGTGAGATAAACAGAAACAAGGTGGGCTTTATAAGCTTCGACTATGAAATGGTTCACAAGATAAAACAACGGAGATTAATGTACTGAACGCAAGGGACATGCTACAGCTTTATGATGAGTGATTCGCTCACCAAAACAAAGCTCACGTGAAAAAGGTGTTAAGCAGAGAAATTGGAAGACACAGACTAAAATTTGGTACTAGAGAAGGTGTTACAAAACCAGGAGAACTTATCTTTGCAGACGTTTGTGAATCCTTTATGTACTCGATATCGAAACTAAGATACTTCGTACTTTTCAAAGACGCCTATTCTCAGTTCAGATTCGTCCATTTTCTGAAAGAAAAATCAGAAGTCTACAAAAAGTTGGAACTTATATTAGCTGAGATAAAAGCAACAGGACAGAGTCAAAGAACTTTTTACAGACAACGGAGGGGAAATTGTTAAAACTATATTAGAATTGAATGGCATCAAGTACAGAGTGACAATGCTACATACTCCTCAGCAGAATACGTGCGAGAGAGAAAACTGAACAGTTGTTGAAGCAGCTAGAACTATAATGAATGCGCGAGGTTTTCTTCAAGGCCTATGGGCTGAACTAGTAAATACATCAGTCTATATCTTGAACCGCACTGGTCCAACGGTGTATGACAAGTCACCGGTATGGTTTAACGAGAAACCCAGAATTGGTCCTTTAAGGATAATAATAGGAAGTACTTGTTATGTGCATGCCCCTAAGGTATAAGAAAAAAGGCAGTTAAAGGAATTCTAGTAGGATATAATGAAAATGAAGGATACAGAGTTTGGATCAAAGACAAAAATACTTTGGTTAACTCAAGGGATGTAATTAAAGAAGAAAGAAATAATCATTATTTTACAGCCGCACCGAAGTATGTATTCGTATGTTTTGGCGCAAAGAAAATTTTTTAGTGGCAGTAACTGTTCTTATTCTAATTTATTTTATATTATTATTTTTATAAGAAGTAAACAGTCATACTGCTATTATTATTCTTTAAGTTTATCTTTTTGGTTAAGTAAGTGCATTTAAGATAATTTCCTTACCCAGTTAATATAACGAATAAAAAGATAATCGTACATACAAGACTAGCGATGTAAAAAAAACAAACGCATTTAAATCATAATATTTATTACTTTTTACATTAAATTTTAGCGATAAACGTAATATTAAGTAATACGTCATATTTCTTAATTTATTCTTTGCTTATATCACATAATCTTTTAATCCTTAAGAAAAAATGTGATATAATAAAAACTCTCAAAATTAATTTCTTGTATTAATTCGTCAAAAGTTAACAAGAAAAATATGAAAAAAATTTAGCATATGTATCGTCAAACGTACTTTTCAAATATGATAAAATCGATGATTCAAAGTAAATTCACTTAAGCCTTTTTTCCAGTGGGGGTGCGATTTGTAGTAAAAAAATGAAGGCCAAGTATTTCACAGTCATTAGGACTTTAGAATTAATATTTTTTATTTTGACATACTTACACAAATAACTTTTGTGTAGATTTATTGTTCATATATTTTTGTAAAACGGAACATTTTCATTTTGGAACAGTCAGGTAGTAAATTTTTATACTTTTAAATATTTGATTATTTCACGAATGTTGTAGGAGAATAATAAACATGTAGTAATTATGAAACGAATATTTTAATGTTACGGGCTAGTGTAACATAATGTTTCGATCAAATGTGGATAAATCAACTATTCAGATTTATCACGTTAAAATGCTCATTTGAAGTGCAATAGACAAGGCAATATACCAATCATTTGTTTAACATTATACAACAGTTCTGTTACTTGATATTTGATTCAGGGTGGGGTCTAAAAACGCCAGTGTACGCAATTGTTTGAAACACTTTATTAATGACACGCCCCACGATATAACTATTTATTTACACAGATTTAGTAACTAAGCTTATGAGGAGATATCAAGAAATTTAAAAGGAGAGCATTAGAACTAAACCAGCCTTATGGTGATTTGATAACAACATCGGATTTCAATAATATTTACATTTAATGTGAATAAAATATAGGTAATAAATAAGACATGCCTGTAGTAAATTAGTAAGTTATCGGTAATTTGTCAAAAACCAAATCAGTATCTCCATTCATCTTACACTGCCATCCTCTTCCTGTGGTTAAAAAGAGCGAGACGTGCTCCAGCCTTGATTCCTTCCCAAGTCTCAAAACCAGCTTGTTTAATGAAATCTGGTTCTACCAAAAATCCATCCATTTCCCCGTCAAGATTCTTATATGCTGGTAGTTCGCAGACGAACGCCAGAGGTACACCACTGGCCTGGAAGTAGTCACTGCAGCCACCAGAAGAAGCATAAAGTATATGCTCGGTATTACCAACTGTATAATCTGGATTCGAGGACCATTTAACTCTATCAATAGCCTGGGCTATATTAACACCGACGAAGTTCAGGGCTAAAGCATTCGGAGGCAGTTCTCCATTACCGAAACCGAACAAGACTAAGCTCCCGAAACTATGAAGGTCGATGAACATTTCGATGCGGTGTAGGTATTTATGTAAAATCTTTCGAATTACTTGAGTTTCGGGTTCGGAGAAAGCATTTCTGCCATGGAAGATTTCGCTGCAGACATCGCTATCGGAGGCGGTTCCCCAGAATATATCGAAGTTTCTATTTAAGTCGACGCCCATGCATGAATCGTCAGCCATAAAGCCAGTGGCCCGGTTCTTTCTCCAGAAACGGTCCTAAAAAAGAAAAGGATGCTACTTTTGTATAGATACATACTACATATTTAAAAATAAATATTCGACACTAATAAAATAAAGAAGTACAATTTGTTGAAAGTAAGTAATATTCAGAATTATAGAACCAATTTCAGAAATTCTAAAGCTATATTTCATTGCGTAAAATAAATTGCACCACAGCCGGCACTATCGCCAGTACTATATAAATAAAAGAACTTTTGAAATGTAAAATTCTTTTTTCTAGTAATAATTTCTTTAGATTTAACTTAAAAGAACTGTTTATTGTGTTTAAGCAGTTTCTCTTGGTTTTTCATGGTTTCTATTCAATGTTGCTATATTCACATCACTACTTACATAAGAGAATAAGGCAATACTTACATCGGTATGAGTAAACTCATAACCATCGGGATTAGCAACAGGCATAATGATCCAATCAATATTATTCACTAGATAAGGGTCTTTGACATCGATAACTAACTTTTCAATGGCATATAAACAAACTGGTAAAGTCACCCATTCACGAGCGTGCAATAGACACTGCAAGTATACTATAGGTTTCCTTGAAGTCTGAAACGAAAAATAATCATGTTATTTTTGCCTAGTGTAACAAATATGTTTCTCTTACAAGTACAGAAAGAGAACCACTTTAATTTCACTTCTTGTCTAAATAAAAAATATTTTTGTAAGAAACTACGTTACTCAAAAAGAGTTTTTATAATATTTCATGATTATTTTTAATGAACTAAATCTTAATTGATTTTCATAGAGTGTAAACTCTTTTTTATATCACGAAAATAAAATTTTAAAGAGGTGAAATACAAGATAATATTTTGTAGTGGAACGTTATACTTCGAGGCAGATGATAATATTAAACTGATAGAAGGCTACCTCAAAATTGGTTTTGGATATTTTCAAATACTTCATCGGCCTGCCTTCAAAAGTCTTCCCACCGTTCACAACCTTGACGAGGTTAGGGTACTCTCGACTCAGCCGATGTAGGTAATCGTTCACCTGTAAACATATAAAAATAACATAAATCAAATATAAAATATAACATAAAATTATATTAACACCGATATTAAAGCCCAAGTTAAACCAACTGATCTGAAGTCCATTTATTTTGGCTAGACTGGCTTTACTTTGTGCCAATTTTTGTCGTATATTATGTGATTCTTGGCATATAATTTTGGTCTGAAGACTTATACTATGAATGGTAGCTGAATTATATAGTTAGTACTTCATCTGTTAGGTCATTGAATAAGTGTCCCTTAAATAAAAAGACACAGAAGATACGTCATTTTGGAACTTATATCGATAAGAGGCTAAGCTTACAGAGCTAAGAAAGACCTCGCGTATTTATAAAAATATCTATTTTTATAATATCTTCTAATGATGTTGAAGCTTTTGTGGCATTTTATATTCAATAGATACTAATACATCCTGGAGCAATCGCAAACCATAACAATCTACTTACAACTGAAAGTCTGTGAATTTCGTCAAAATTGAGGCCAGATGACGAATTATGACTCGACCGCCTGGATACTGCTGAGGACAGACGCTGTTCTTCTCTCTCCAATTTTCTGAAAACAGAAAGCAGATTATAATGAAATGTTACATTGATCATGATAATTGAGTACGTGATTCAAGGTGATCCCGAAGACACAACTAATAAAATATAACATCGATACATCCTGAATAAATACTTATACATTTAGGGACGTTGAGGGAGTAAATTAAACGAGATTCTACTAAGGGAATAGATGTGAGATTATCAAAAAATAATGGACAAGCTATTGTTTAAAAATGTCAAAGACAAAGCGCGTCGGGGTAGGAACTCGTGACGTCACTTCTAAGTAAAAATCATACAAAGGCGTGACGTCATGTGACATTTAAAACCATGCAATAAATTCAAATAAATTAAAAAATATCTGTAATATTTTGATTATGTGAAAAAATAAAAAAAAAAACATGCCCAATACTTTTTGACAACCTACATAATAGACGAAAGAAGAATTATAATCATCCCTATTCAAAATAATAGTGATAATGTTAATATTGCCACCTTTTTTTGAGACTACGTTTTCAAAACATGAGAGGCGTAAGACATAATGAAATTTATTTGATTAAAAGATTAAAGAAAATATACCAGGTGTCATATCAAAACAACTCGATAAATTCAATATTTTAAAAAAGGTAATGTATTTATCACTTTTATTGACGCTACAATGGCTGAATGGATGAATCGGGTACTGTTGTATAGGTGTCTAGAATGACACTAAGAATAGATTTTTTATTCAAGTAGTCTATAATGAGTTAGCGCTTTTGACTGCAATCATTGAAGTTACGCAACTTTATGAGTTGTCGGTAATTTTGCCTATGGGGGGAAGACTATATTGTCAATTTTGCCTATACATAAAAAACTTTTGTTGGATGGGTGACTAAAAATTGATTATATCGAGTTCCTCCGTGCTTCGGAAGACACGTTAAGCTGTTAGTCCCGGCTGCATCTGCAGTCGTAAGAAGGAAAGAAACCACCAATCCACATTGGGCTCACGTGGTGGGTCATGGCCTAATCTCCGTATTCCATCAATAGGGAAGGCCCTCGTAGTAGGGAAATTTATAGGCTGATGATGAATCTCTAATAATATAGTTATTACATTGTGAGTTGTTCGAAATTATCTATTATTAATAGTAGCTAGAAGAAATTCTAGAAGCTTAAGATAGGTAAAGCCTCCTATAGGCTCGTTATCATCTGTCGATAATACCCGATGCATTTTTGCGATATTTCGTCATACTTCTATTGCGTCGTTATTACCGCAGTAGAGTGTATCGCAATAACCCATCTGATATTATTTATAATAACGCGCCTATGAGCGGAGACCTACATCGCCAATTTTGCCTTAAATGAAGTGTTCACTCACTGTTTGATGTTAGTGATGGTAGCCCTGTATTCCACTTGAGCTGCTTGCAACAACATCTCGAACTGAGACTTGTAGTCTTTCGACACGAAGAATTGGCCGGGGTGCTTGGGCTTTGCTGGCATCCACATGTCAATGGGGATCTGGTATTGAAGGTGATTCACGAACGCAGCCTGTTCAGCATCCTGTACTGTCACCTCGTATACTGTATGACTGGAAAATTTGTTTAGATTATTATATGTTTATGTTTTAAGAATTTAACTAATAGATGTTTAGGTCTAAAGAATATTTTCGTAGAAAAATTACACTTATGTACTTTATGTCAGTGATATTTGAAGAGTAAATATGTCATAAGTGCGCACGCTGCGAAGATCGAAAACAGGCCAATTGGAACGTCTAAACTACCCACCCATAAATTTTATTGTAGGCATAAGATAACATTTGATTTGGAACATATTTTAAACGCAATTACATACTATAGAATTAATATCATTACTTTATGTATATGTCGTAGGAAGATTTGATAAAGCATTTTATTGCAAAAATCCTAGTAATTTTAAGAAAATGGATATAAAATAGGACAATGGTGATGATATTTCTCCAACTTTTAAAAAGATAGGATTTTTGGGAAAATTCGGCTCGTCTTTTCCCAAAAATCCTATCTAAAACGCCCTAGTAAGATTGCGAAAGGAATCGATGGTTTATTATAAATATTATTGGGGGTTTGGATTCTTAGGTTCACACTAGGTTAGTTTAGTGCTTTGACCATGACAGAAAAAAAAATGTTAACAGTAAAGCCTATTCTAGATAGATGTAATCCAGGGTCCCAACAAAGGTGACCTTGCCCGTTGCCATCCATCTAGACGAAGGATGTTATCAAAATTTTGATTTGACTTTCAACGTCCTTGGATTACGGGCGCGTGTTTCTTTCCGCGATTATAACCGTTTGGCCGGCGGATTACATCCAACCAAAGACAGTTGCGCTATAGCAGTCGGCGGCAGTTGCGCACTTATTTTTAGGAAGTTATGAATATTAATAAAGTCCAACAACAATAATAAATTTGAATGCCTGAGAATCATTCGCTCTTTGAACCAACGCTTCATCCACTTTCTCTTTTGTTGTTGTTTTTCGTCGTCTATTGCACACAAAACTGCTAAGGCAAAACTGAAATTTTGAAATTTAGACAAATTTGGAGCCATTTCTGTAACATGGTTAATACATTCCGCGCACGATACGACTGCATACGTGTTTTCACGCCAGAAGACGTCTCACGAATGCGTGTTGGCGCGTGGATTACATCCCTGTAGCCGAAAATCAAAACTCGGATGGAAGCAAAATTCTCACCTAAGTCACCTTGGTTTGTGGGCTGGATTACATTCCTCTAGAATAGGCTTAAGATTTTTTCCGCAAAATCCCTAGGATTTACGCGAAAATTCGATTTATCAAATTATTCTACGACATATCGCGGGACACAACTTGTATCGGCGCGTATTTCTGATACATCAGCCGTCTTATTTCAATTGGACTCAATTCACACTTAACGTTATAAAGTATGATCTAATTTTATAGATTAAATATCTATAAAAATAAGATACTTTTTTTTATAGATAGATCCGACAAATGACTCCACCCCACCTGATGTTAAGTGAAGGTGAAGTCCAGACGCGAAGATAGCTGATACAGCAGTTTTACCTGCCACACTAGCCATCCTCACCCTGCCGGCCTGCATGATGCATTTTCACGCCTCTTTTAAAGGATCCCAAGTTGTAAGACGGAGGGAAAACGTGAGCGGGCAGAGCATTCCATTTACGGATAGTGCAACAAAGAAATAAGTCACCATATTTCATGGTACGCGTTGGAATTGTGGCCACAGTTAGCCGGTGACAACGTAGGCCAGCGCGCGTGGTCCTCTGAAGGAAAGGGGAAGATGGAATAAGAGTGAATAACTCCTCAGAACACTCGCACACACACACATATTGAAAAAGCTTGATTTTGGTAAAACAAATGTGGCAAAGAAATCAAAACTGTATATAACATACCTACTTTTATTTAAGCAATAAACTGATTGATTATTGCGTCTAAAGAAAAAAAATAATACGATTAACTCGAACCATTCTTTCGCATTCTCTTAAAAATGAATTCGCCTGCACTAACACCCTAGTCGAATTGATTTTATTCTAGTCGAAATATTCTTCAGATAAATTTATTATTTTTGAGAAACGAGGAATTCAGGACGTCGGCAGTCGGTTACAAGGTAGGCTAGCGCGTGTAGTCCTCTGAAGAAAAGGTGATGGATGGGTTAGGGATAACTCCTCAAAACACTCGCAGTATAGTCGGTAGAATGCATTAATGATGCCTCATCGCGGCGTAATTCATATTACTCATATTTTGGATCGAATAACTTCTCTGTCGATTCTGCGTAAAACCTTAAATTGATTTTGATAAAATTCTAAATGGATGTAAAAGGAAAACTAATTTTAATAGCGATAATTAAATTTGAATAGTATATAATAGGGGATGCCTCTTTGCAATAAAAAAAAAACAGATTTTTCTACGTGGACGAAGTCTACTGCGTCTACTAGCTGGGTTTGTGAAGTAAGTAAAGACATAAATTGAAATGAAATATAAGTAAAAGTTATTACCCTTCGTAAACTTCATGTTTTGCCAGCGCCACATATATAGAGAAACAAAAAATGAACAAACTTTTCTGTGTATTAGCCATTTTGTACGTATTGAAATGACATAACACAATTAACTAATGCTCAAGGATTTATATAATTTTATTTCGATAATCCCTATCATATTATCTCGTGATTACGAATTATCTATGTATTTAATCACTTTCATGTTAAATTAAATTTTACGTCGCATAATTATTTTGTGTAATGCAGTTCCAATGATATTAAGTAAGTACCTTAGTAACACCACGTGCACTCGAAATGCGTCCTAATCAATAAGTGCTCGAACACCACTCAAGCATTTCCTGGTTTACAGTCACACTCGGACCGTCAAAAAGTGAAGTTGCCGTAGAGCTCCATGAAAAAATGCGAAAAAAATACTTATACTATGTAAAGTGTCGTGTAGTTCGACAGGTGTCTAAACAATGTTTGTTAATTTAACGTATTTGGAGCAAATTTTGTTCTAATACCTACTATAAACTGATTTAATAAAATAGTTTATTGTTACTGACAAACTAAAACCTGATGCTTTTTTGATGATTCTGAACTTTATGCTATAAGAATTCATTTTCGTCAAAAATTTCTTATAGCATAAACCTATAAGAATTCAGGATTTTTGGAGTTTTGTGGGTTTTAGTTTGTTAGTCATCATCACCATCATCAACAGCCTATCATAGTCCACTTCTGGACATAGGCCTCTCCAAATGCACGCCACTCAGACCGATCTTGGGCTACTCGCATTCAGCTCCTGCCAGCCACCTTGCGCAAATCGTCACTCCATCGTGCCTGAGGACGTCCTACACTACGTTTGCCTAGACGCGGTCTCCACTCCAGAACTCGTCTACCCCAACGGTTATCAGTTCTTCGGCAAATATGGCCAGCCCACTGCCACTTCAACTTGCTAATCCTGTGGGCTATGTCGATAACTCTGGTTCTCTGTCGGATTACCTCATTTCTGATGCGATCTTCCAGAGAAACGCCGAGCATAGCCCTTTCCATAGCGCGTTGAGCGACTTTGAACCTGTGGATCAGCCGTGCCGTAAGTGTCCACGTCTCGGCTCCGTAAATCATCACAGGTAGGACGCACTGATTGAAGACTTTCGTCTTTAGGCACTGTGGGATCGACGATGTCAGGACTTGACGTAGCTTCCCAAACGCTGCCCAACCTAGTTGAACTCTTCTATTCACCTCGTCCTCAAAGTTGTTTCTACCTAACTGCAATGTCTGCCCGAGGTGTACATATTTTTGAACAACTTCGAGAACGGCACCGTGTATTGCAATCGGTTCCGGTAGAACATGTTCATTGAACATGACCTTGGTTTTATCCAAGTTCATCCGTAGGCCGATGCGTATAGAAGAGTCAGCCAGGTCATTCAGCATCTGTTGTAGGTCCTGCAGGGTTTCTGCCATGATGACGATGTCGTCTGCAAATCGCAAGTGAGAGATGCGTTCGCCATTTATTTTGATGCCGTGTCGTTTCCAGTTCAGCGTCTTGAACATATCCTCCATTGCATTAGTGAACAATTTCGGGGAAATAACGTCCCCTTGTCTCACTCCACGATGCAACGTTATGGGACTTGTTTGCTGATTCTGTACTTGGACAGACATGGTGGCGGCTTCGTAGAGACATCTTATCACTTGGATGTATCGCCAGTTGACTTGGCAACGATGCAGGGACTCCAGGACAGACCAGATTTCAATCGAGTCAAAGGCCTTCTCATAGTCCACAAATGCTAGGCACAGGGGCTGATTGTACTCCTTAGTCTTCTGTATAATCTGCCGCACTGTGTGGATGTGGTCTATGGTGCCGTAACCGCTCCGAAACCCAGCCTGTTCCGGTAGTTGGAAGTCATCAAATCTTCGCGCAAGACGGTTCGCGATCACTCTTGAGAACAGCTTATAGACGTGGCTTAGAAGGGATATGGGTCGATAGTTCTTAAGTAGGGTCTTGTCCCCCTTTTTAAAGAACAAGACGACCACACTCCTACTCCACGCCTCCGGAGTTCTCCCTTCGAACAGGACAGTGTTAAAAAGCTTTTGGAGCTCCCTCAGTACGGGTTTACCTCCAGCCTTCAAGAGTTCTGTTGTAACACCATCCTCTCCAGCGGCTTTTCCATTTTTAAGCTGTCCAAGAGCAATCTCGATTTCGCCAATACTGACTTCAGGCAGGTCTTCGGTGAAGTAGCGTGTTAATGTGGCTCTAGAATCCTCATTTCCGGGATCAGGTCGAGATGCATGTGATGCGTATAACTGGCTGTAGAAGTCTTCCACTTCCGAAAGGACTGCCGGCTTTGAAGCAACAACTTCCCCAAGTGGGGAAGTGCTGTGGTCAACTTCGTCAGATGGCTTCTTCCAAGAGATTGTACGAACACTTTGGACCCTCGATTCTGCTCGATCGCTCTCTCCATCGGAGGTCGTGTCGTACGTGCTTACTGATCTCTTGGTTTAGAGTCCGCTTTGCCGACGAAGTGACGGGTGGGTTTTCACGTCGTTCCTTCATTAGCCCAAAGTCTCTTCCGAAAGCTTTGACTTCCTGCCCTTCGCTGCGTTGCACATAGTTTCGTACCCTCTTCCCTGAGAATTCGAACCGCATTTTCGAGGTTTTGGTTTACGTCTGATGTGGTTTCCACGGCAGCAAATCGGTTCTCCAGATTTGACTGGAACGTTTCAGATCCTGTTATAGATTGGAGCAAAGTAGGTTGGAGCCTGGATTTCATTAAACGGACGCGCTCGGCCTTAAAGTTGATATTCAGAGAGCCCCGGACGAGTCGGTGATCACTACCGGTATTGAACCTGTTGATCACGGAGACGTCTCTGAATATGTACCTCTTGTCCGTCATGATGAAATCGATCTCATTTTTAGTCATAGTGTCGGGGCTCTGCCATGTCCACTTCCTTTGGGGCTGTTTCTTGAAAAAAGAGTTCATCAAGAAGAGCCCCTGCTGTTCGAGGAAGTTGACGAGCATTTGCCCCCTATGATTTCTGCTTCCAAATCCATGGGATCCTACTACCGATTCGCTGCAATTCTGTACTCCCACTTTAGCGTTGAAGTCCCCCATAACAACGTTGTAGTGGGTCTTAGTAGTGGAGTGGAGGGCCCTCGATATATCATCGAACATATCCTCCACTTCGTCGTCCGAGTGTGTCGAGGTCGGTGCGTACACTTACACCACCTTGAAGCTATACCTCTCGGTGAGCTTTATAATAAGGTACACTACCCTGTTCGACACGCTGGACATTTCCACAACGTTATCGGCAAGGGACTTATTTATCGAAAACCCAACGCCACCTTGGGACTGTTGGTCTCCCCCGCGGAAGTACATTAGGTGGCCTGATTCGAGGGTTATGGTGTCCTCCTCCTCTCTTCGGACTTCACTTAACCCTAAAATGTGCCACCTAATCTTTCCAAGTTCCACCTCGAGTTGCGCCAGATGCGAGTCAAGCCGTAGCGTGCGTCGTACGTCGCCAGGGTCAGTCTTTTGTGGTGGCCTCCCGTAGTCCGGAGATTCTTGGCACCCCCCGCCCCACCGTTACCGTGGTCGCCACCGTGACCAGGAATAGCGGGGCTGCCGGGAACTGGGGGCCGTGGCTTGAGTTTCTTGTGCATGATGGTTTTGCCCATAATCGCCACGCTGGGCAGGCGGGTTGGCGATCGCAGAGCGTAGGTTTATTTACTGATGACGCTGCTGCCCGTCACCAGTGACATTTTCCCCCCCTACGTCATTGGATGGTTATACCGCCATCGGTCGGTTTGCCAGAGCCTCGTCTGTTGGTCAACAGGGTGCACCACGTGAAGGTTGGCTTGGGTTCTTGCAGGTGTATTTAGAACCCCTTACACCCCCTTAGTTTGTTAGTATCAATTATATTTTAAAAACATTTTGTTTACTAAGCCTAAACACTCCAATGCCAATTAAACACTCATTGTGTATTCCAAATTTAGGTTAATAAGGTTTTAAGTAACATTTTAAGAACGAAATAGCGACCATGGCTACTCAAAGGTCTTGTGAATTTAGTTCATACAATTCTGATCTCAGTCTCATCAAAGTTTGAGCAATCACCTGTATATTAAAAAGGTAACCGTCACTGACTAACTGAACTATCAACGCACACTTCAAACCTCGTTACAACTGATGGGGTATGCTTTGTCTATTATTGTTATAATAAAGTAGTTCCTGTTAGGTGTCAAATAGATATGGCATATTAAGTTTGTTTTGTTGAGTGAATTGTTTTTATGAATTGGAATGAATATGGCGTAAAGTAAATGATGTTATTATTCACAGTTTAAACAAATACGGTAATTTCCACATAATCGCCCCATATTCTGTACTCCGTGAATATCATGTCATATAAATCTTAAAAAGAAAATGGCTTCCATGAAAATACATGACGTGATACCTCGGTTGGAAAATGGAAATATTATTCTAATTGGAAATTTAGATTAGAGCTATTGATGGAAGAAAAAGGTCTGTATGATATAATTTCATGTGGTAGTTTAAAAGAAGAAGACAAGTTGAGAGATGCAAAAGCAAAGTCACTAATTTTACAGTGTATAGAGAATAATTTACTGGAAATTGTGAAAGGCTGCAAAAGTTCGAAAGAAATGTTGGATGCTTTAGAAAGCATTTTCAATAAGAAAAGCATCATGAAAAAATATAATTTAAAGAAAAAATTGATAGAGTTGAAATGATACAGTGACGAAAAACTTGGAACTTAAATATGACAAGCTTATTAGTGACAACGAAATGATTTCAAAAATGGGAGAGTCGAATAAAGTTGTAGATCTTTTGCTTCCATTGCCCGATAAGTACAGCAACGTTACAGAAGCTCTGGAAGCTATATACGCTGAATTGACTTTGTGCAAAACGAAATCAATATTACTTGATGCGGAAATACGATTGCAAGACAGAATATATGTAAATCAAGATAATGCGTTTAATATTGAATGCTGGAATTGTAATGAAAAAGGACACAAGGCAATATATTTCCGAAAATTTGGTCTAAATAGGTATTGTCATAATATATCTATAACAGGCTGAGGCGATGAATTTAATAGACGTGGACATGGAAGAATACAGGTCCGAAGCAGAGGTGAAACCAGTAGAGCGACAACTTTTAGGAATAATGCAGTCGTGGGCAATTACGAATCAAATGACGAAATGGGATGTATGGTAGATGGAGAATTCAGCTTAACTTGTAAGATATCTAAAAAATAAATTCCTTTGTAGTGGATTGTGGCGCATCACGAAATTTTATATCGGAT